GCACTCAGACTGTCAATTCCCTAGTCTAGCAGACAATTGATGGTAGGTAAGTCATATGTCTATTTTATCCTTCTGCAACAAATATGAACCGAAAAATCTTCCTTGATGTTAGAAGATATTAATGTCGAAAGTTCAGACCGATTCAACCAGATACCATTGGTGCATCATCAGCTATTCCTTCTCCTCAGATAGAAGCTACCCCAGAAAAGGTACTGTATGTCCTCATTTTTCTCATTTTCAAACAACTTGTTACTTCTTAACAAAACTTTTCTTTCCTACCTGCAGGCACTTAACTCACCAGTTCTGAGCTATTCTTTCAATTTTGAAGAGTATATAGATGAAGATGAAATCAGCTCATCAGCCATCTCTTCTAAAGAAGCTTTATCAGATGAGACCAAAAATCGGCTAAGGGACATATTGCCAATGCTTGAGAAGGATATAGCTAATTTGGTCCAAGATGCAGACCCAATATGAAGAATCTTCTTAGCCATTAAGGATAATTTGTCCCCAGATCTCATCAAAGTCTTGACGCCTTTATCCATCATTGAAGATCAAGCCCCAAAGGTGAAAAAGGCTCAGAGGAATCTGTCTAACCGTGAAACTTTGATGGCCAAGAAGTATTCCAATAAAAAAGAAGCCAAAGAATGAGTGCAACTGATTGACAATCTAAAGAATTCCTCTTCCAAAATTGAACCAAAGTTGAATCAGCTGAGAGCTAGGCGTGCTGAGCTTGAGAAAGAACTGGAAAGTGTGAAGGCCGCCATCGATTGCCAGGAGTCCAACTTGGTTTAGATCCCCAATACCATCAAGCAAAAGAAACAAGAGATGCTGACCATGGTCAAAGAAGGCAAGGCCATTCGCAGCAGCCTTGAGAACATCCCTAGATCAGCGGAAGAAGACAAGCAACAAATTGCAGAAGTTGATGCTATTCGACTGAAAGCATTGAAAGCAATCCAGGACATTTTGAACTTGTAATCTGCATACCCACGTTTGTAACATATATTTTGTGTGGAACCAATGACAACCATATTTCCTGTTGGTCTATTGTATTTCTTATCTTGGCTAAAGAGCCAATTTAAAAATAGCCGATTCCAAACCTCTGACTTTAATCCAATTAAGTTTGAAAACATGGCCTCCATTAAGAAAACTCCTCAATCTTCCATCCTCAGTTATCAATGCCGCATTCTCTTCAGCATTAGCGAGGTGGCGCTTCATCTTCTATTAATTGCAGTTACTCTTACACGTCTCGAGATATCTACCATCCCATCTCCATATCTATAAATACCAGCCGAGGGCTCTGGCCTCAAACACATTCATACTTGCAACTACTTCTGTTCTCTATGCTTCTCCGCATTCACAAACCCTATAGCGGTTTTCTTCCTCCTCTCAATAGATCTAACCAAACCCATGGCTGGCGAGGACAACCGGCGCAAGCGCGCGGTGGAAGAGGTCCCAGAGGAGAACCTGCCAGTGAGCCAGCGTCTCCATCGTATGAGGTGAGATCGACATTCTCTGCTCATGGCAATGGATTTCTCTAACTTGTTTATAGGTTTGTCCTGAATGGCAGCCTTCGTCCTCTTCGTCCTAGGGCCGGTGAGCCCTCCAATGTTGCATCTGATGCCGCCTCCACACCGGACTCGTCGTCGGACTCCTCCAATTCTTATAAGGGTGACGACGCCCGGCGTTTCCTCCGAGAGTGGAAGGTGGCCCAGGACCATTATTTCGAGACAACTCGGGAGAACGGTCAGCTTGAGATCCACCTCGGGGTCTCTTAAGCCGCCCTCCTCGTAGCCGAGGAAGAGGCCAGCGCTGCTCGGGCACGGCTGGCCGAGTCTGATGCCATGGTGGTAGGTAAGATGAACTCCAAGAAAACCCTTATTTTACTCTCCACTGTCTTTGTCCTGATAGCTCCTTGGTCTCTATGATCGCCAGCCCTGACGGTGCAGTTGGAGACCTTCCAACTGGTAGCGAACGCAGCTATGGTGGCCGTCAACACCTGGGGCCCCTTCATCAATGCCCGTCTCCACGACGTTCCGGCCCGTGTCTAGGAGATCGCCCTCCATGGTGTCCATCACGGCGCATCGGTTGCGCTAGCCGTGGCGCAGGTTCAGACCGGGTACGAGCTCCACACCATGGAGACCGGTTTCCCCATGGGCGACGGACCTGAGGAGCACGAGGAGTTATTCGAGGACTTCGTTGATGCAACAGAGGCCATTGTAGATATTACATCTGCTCAAGATGTGATAAACAATGTCTTTGACTGGTTTGTACTTAGGGCAAACTAATCAATGAATAAAGTCTTCTGTTTTTCTATGATCATATCTCAGTGTACTTTCTGCAACGTCTTGTGTATACCATATTAGTTTATGTGTTGGTGTTTTGCTCTATAGGTGATATATATCATATCGGCTTTTCCCCCTTTTGGGGTAATTTTTTAGCTAAAGGCAATACCTTTCTGGTACCGGCTATTAGAGCCGATGACTGAACAAATCAGCTGTCAAGTATTGATTGAAATGCTAAGATAATATTTCTTTAGACACTTTCCATTGATCGCTTCTTGATAGGTTGCACCAGTATTCTTCACACCAAAGATCATTACAACCCATTCAAATAAGCTGATTGCGCCAGGGCACCTGAAAGCTGTCTTCCTTAGCCATTATATTCTGCATTGTCGTCCATAAAACTAATAACCTTGTGCCCGGCTGCTGCATTTACCAACACATCAACAATTGGCATCGGATAACCAACCATGGTTGTAGCCTTGTTCAGATCTCTGAAGTCGATGCAAACTCTTAACTTCCCATTTTTCTTAAACACGGGAACAACACTCGATGTCCACTTTGCATATCGGCACGGTCGAATAAATTTCACTCCCAGTAATCTTTCAGTTTCGTTTTTGATATCATCAAGAACATTTGGGCTAAATCTCCTCGGAGCTTGTTTAAACGGCCGATATCCAGGTTTGATTGGCAACCGATGTTCAATAATTGATCAATCTAGACTAGGCATCTCATAATATTCTCAAGCAAAACAATCTTTAAATTCCTTTAATAAATCTATCAACTCTTGCTTATACTCAGGATCCAACTTAGCTCTTATATACATCGGCCTAGGTCTATCTCCAGAACCAATATCTACCTCCTCTAATTCATCGGCCGATGTAAAGCCATGTTCTAGTTTTTCATCTGTACCATCTATTGGATTATCCATTAAAATAAACTCTCAGAGCCGACTGCTTGGATCAGCTGTTGGCTTTCATCATTGATCTTAATGAAGCTTTCTTCCCATAGCTTGCCAGAAAAACACTCGAAGTCTTCCAGCTCCCAATACATTGGATCAGCTGTGGCGACACTCATAGAATTCATCAGCATGAACCAGCTCAACATCATCTCCATGTCACTGAATCAAGCATTGATGCATAGTCGATGGTACATAACAATTTGCATGAATCCAATCACGACCAAAAAGTAAATTGTATGAACCTTTTCCATCAATGACAAATAATATAGTGAGCAAAGTCTTACTTCCAATTGTCAATTCGACCCCTGGTCTTGGATGTGTTACCCCCAAAATCATTAAGCATCATGTCGGTCTCAATCAAATCTCTTGGTCCCTTACCAAGCTTGCAAAAAGTAGTATAAGGCATAAGATTAACAGAAGCACCTCCATCCACTAACATTTTGCTCATCAGCTTCCTATCAACAAAACCTTTCACATATAAACCTTTAAGTGCCGATGCTTGACTGGCTTATCGAATATAGCTTGTTGTATTACTGTCAACTTGGCAACTATTTCCTCATATTCTGATTCGTCAAAATCTAAATAGACTTCTTGATCTGCTGGAACTCTGAATTCTGACGGCAACATGAAAGCCATTTGAATATTAGCCGATGGTTGACCCCTATCGGCTGTTTGTTTAGCACGCCATACTTGAGGTTTACCAGATTTCTGAGCCTGTTCTAGCTCTCTATTCCTTATACATTGTACCCTTCTTTTTCTGACTTCTTGTCAAGCCTCCTGGACACCATTGCCTTTCCTGCCAAACATACTCCTCCTCATCACCTTCTTCTTCATAATCAGCTCAGTTTTGATCAACAACCCACTTCCCAAGCCAATCATGAACACTTCTATTTTTAAGCGCCGATCCATTTTATTACGATGATACTCATCTCGAGCATGGATAGACTGGCGGTTGGCTTGAGATTGCCTAAACTCCCAATATTGCTCACCTCTGGGCAATTATTTTTAGTAGGCAATTTCAAACCTTCATTCCAACAATGTCTGAAGAAAGGACAGTAATAATGTGATTCAGCTGATATTCTTTCTCGTCCAAAGCTGCCAATAGCACAAGGCAATGAACATGCTATGATGTTGTTGTGGAACTGCAACGACCTTGATTGCAGTAGGAATCTCATGTCGGAGGAATATAATTTAATTATCAAGTGTAACAAGGAGGATGTTTTTGGTAGGGCAGATGTTATCATGTGTGTCAGGGGGTGTGGATGTTCACACACTAGGTAGGAAAAAAAGAGTGAAAATCACAATGTATTGATGTCGAAAGTGGGAGGAGAAATAATGCACCAGTACCCCCTTACTTATTACATATTAGAATAAAATAAAAGGTGCATGAAATCACAATATATTGGTGTCGAAAGTGGGAGAGTAATGACACACCAGTACTCCTTACTTACTAGTTACTACATATTAGAATAGAATAAAAGGTGCATGAAATCAGAATATTGGTGTTGAAAGTGTTAGAGGTAATAACACACACCAATGCCCCTTACTTATTACATCTTAGGATAAAATAAAAGGTGCACGATATGATATTGCTTGGAAACTACTCCCTCTATTTCAAATTATAAGATGTTTTAACTTTTCTAGATATATAGATTTTGCTAATATGTATTTAGATATATATTATGTCTAAATACATAGTAAAAGCAATGCATGTAGAAAAAACAAAACGTCTTATAATTTGGAATATAGGGAGTAATAAGCTAGTTTATACCCGTGTGGTGTGGTGCCGGTGCGATATTCTGCGGGTGATAATACGAGAAAACTTGGTAGACTGCACTGAGCACTCCAGCGCCAAGAAGAATCAAGGCTGAGAAAACCCCGAGGAGAACCGATACTTTCCTGCAAGTTAAGTAATTCAGACGGAGCCATGCTAGAACGTTTTGCCATCGACTCGTGTAGCGTTTGTCCAGATACTGCCAGAGGGGCTTGAGATAGTTTGCTTTGCTGTTGCTCCTGTCCAAGACGACGGCATCGCAGAGTCTGGAGAAGTCCGCCGCGACACTCTCCGGCGTGCTTAGGTGTCTGTCGATGACGCCTTTGGCCTCCAGGAGCTCCACATCCTCTTTCGTGCACGCTATCTGCGACATGAAGAGACAGTAAGCCGTGACGTAGGTGCCCAGCCGTGGGTGCTGCCCCTCTAGCGCCATCAGGTTGAGCAGGATCGTCCAGGTGTCCCCGTCGACGCGCAGGCAAGGGATAACGACGTTGCGTCCCTCGATGCGCACGTCGAGCACAGAGAGCACATCACTGTCGTTGTCATCGTCGTCCCCAAGATCTCTTCCCTTCAACTCGACGTTGGCGTACTTCAGGTAGTCTGTGGCCCGGTGCCACTGGCCTTGTGCTCTTCTGTTGCTCTTCCTCATCTCGGATTCGGATTCCGATCCTGCAGGTGGTTTATTATGTGGTTTCAACAATTTGTGCAGCAGGTGCAGGAGATGGAATATAGTAGCAGTCTGAGGCCCGTCCAGAAGTTTGGGAGCGGCGGGGTGGTCTGTGCTGATGCACATCCTCTGCTTATCCAACAGGAGATGCGCACGGCTGATGATGTCCCTGCGAGCAGATTCGGCGGTGGTGCATCCGGTTACCTGCTTGAAGATCTCCTCAAGCATGAAGAACGGAATCTGATTCTGCAATATGTACATGGTGTCCCGCACCACCAGGGCATTGGCATCCTTATTGTCGTCACTGCCAGCAGGCGGGGTATGCAGCTGGGTGGAGGAGGAGCCTCCTGTTGAGATCGAAAAGAACATATAAGGTTAGGTCTAGCGGGTTCTCTTTACTGTGAATGCGATATCGAGAGTAGAGAGACAGAGAGGAATAGAAGAAGAACGTGTTGAACCTGACACCGCAGAGGGAGATGGTCCAGAAGCCGCCATCTTGTTCGTCGGTGAAGTCTGCGCACGGGCAGCGATGTTCGGGGAAGAGATCAATGAAGTCGTCGACGTCGGTGGAATGGGGTGGCGCAGCTGGTGGCTTCTCGTCACTGGCTGCGCCCTTCTCTGATCGGGATTATTGTCGTCACTGCCAGCAGGCGGGGTATGCAGCTGGGTGGAGGAGCCTCCCTGTCCCTGTCCCTGTCCCTGTCCCTGTCCCTGTGATGACCCCGGTGCATGTGCACTCTGGTACGCCTGCTGCAGCGTCTTAGCACTGACGTACTCAGTGAGGAGGTAGCACCCATCAAATAAGAGCATCCGTGCCAAGTCCTCCCGATCACCGCTCCAGCAGCTGTTGTCCGTGTAGTCGTAGTACCCCGGGGAGGTAGTAGTTAGCTGTTTACTAATTTCCACAACCAAAGCGTCTTCCAAATCATTTGTTCCCTGGAGTACGTCCCAATAAAAGACTCGTCATTCATTATATAAACAAAATATTTCAGGCAAGCAGATCACTGTATTACAAGGCAGAGGGAGCAGTACATAGCTGTAAAAAAAACATTACATCCAATCCAATAATAGAGGAAGAGAATGACGTACGGGGAATGACGGGACACACACACCGACCCGTACCTCTGGCGGTTTATTAGCAGCAACTGTTGTGAACATGTGGAGATATTTCCGCCTGTCGTCCATTCTGCTGCACAGTTGGGAGATGGAATCTTGGGGGTAGTGGTACGGGCCGATCCACACATGGCGTGGTTCGTATCTACCAGAGTTGAGGGCTCGCGATTCCCGCGTGACCTTCTTGATAGTAGGGAATGCGACGGTGGCGCGAATACCATTGCCATCAGATTCCTCTCGGATTTCTTGCATCTCTATATCGCCTTCGCCTACATCCACATATATGTGTCATTGCTATTTTATTTATTTATTTTTTGACACGAGGCCATGACAGACACAGACAACGGAAATACAACGGTCCTGATATATACCACAGTTCAAGATACGAAAGAACCCAGAAACAAGCTACCACACGCTGAAGGAAACTTGCACTTCTGTCTCAGAACTTAGCCGGCCTACATTCATGACAAAAGTCTAGCCCAGAAGGATTACGTACCATCCCCCTGCAAAAGAGACAGAAACAACGCACCACACTGTTGAAAAGAACTATCTGAGGTGTAGTTGTATCTGTGGTTTCTGGCAGGCACCGGAGTGTAGCTTTGTGATGCATTTATTTTTGGACCGATGATATATGGATTGAACTTTGAATAAAAAAGAACTAGATGACAACAGGTGTTTTTGAGTCCTGGAGACAATTACTAGCCAGCTCTAATATAACTTCTTCAATAATATTAACTTTTAATGCATAACTCATAATTGAAGCCTCGCATGTCTTGGAGTGTGTGTGGATGAAACTAGCTCTTTGTCAAGAGATATGTTTTCTCTTTCTTCTACTAAAATATAAAATATTATGCTTAGAGCTAGTTCATAAGTTACCATTAGAGAGGTGCCTCTGGAGCATCTTCAACATATTTTATTTGGTCTTCTATTATTAGTATTACCATACTTTATTTTCTTCTCCAACAGATTGCCAATGCCTTTTTAAAATGAATAGGGAACAGGAGACAGATCTCCTACATTTGACGGAGAGGGGTGGGTTTGGAGTACGTAATTACTTAAGGGCCTTTTTGAAATGCATGATTCTCAAAACACAGGAATATGAAAACGTAGGATTAAAGTTGCAAGGAAGTAATAATTATATATGAATTCAAAATACAAAAAATTTTATATTGTGTCTTTTGGATGCAACAGAAGAAAAATACAACAATTTCAAGAGAAAGATGCAGAAAGGAAAGTTTCCATGAGGTCTAACCTCTTTGATCATTTTCCTCTAAAATTCCTATGTTTTTATACATCTATCCCATGTTAATCCAATAGAATTTCATAGGGTCTATTCCTTCGTTTTCCATGAGGTCTACCATTGAAAGCATAGCGCCATTAAATTCTGGAATAATTCCTGAAAAATACGAGCACCCATACCAAATCGAGGACATGAACCCCGGTGGGCAGGTTCCACCATAAGGAACCAACCAACTGATCTATGATCAGTTCGCAGAGCCGTCACTCTTAGGAGGCATGACTTTAGAAATAGTTGCAACAAATATTTTTACGTTTTCATTTGAAGTTGGATGAAGACAAACTTTATACCAAAATTATATAGATTAACGCGACCTACAACTTTGTTGTTCACAATTTTTTAGAATCTGTTTATAGTCTAAAAATTTTGTTTTAATGTCTTATAATTTGAAATTTCATGTAAGAATTTTTGAATGATCTAAAATGTTGACATGATGTACACCAAAGTTTTAGTTTTCAATGCAATATACAACTTTGTAGTTAACAAAAAAAAATTTGATTTGAAGTTTTTAGAGTCCCAAATATGTGTTTCAATTTCTTAGATTTTGAAATTCAAATTTTCAAATTTCAACTGACCTTGAACGTCGAAATGGTTAACACTAAATATGTAGTGGTCAAAGCGATCTACAATTTTGTACTTGACAAGTTTTTTATTTGTAGTCATTTCAAGTCTCCAATATTCGTTTTAATTACTCATATTTTTGGATTGAAGATTTCAACCAATCTCGGATGTAGCCACGTCCTATAACAAAGTTGTAGTGCTTGACAACATCTAAAACTTTATAGTTGACAATTTTTTTTCATTTGAGATCATTTCATGGTTAAAATATTCAATACACAAGATTAACAAATGTTAATACAAAAAATATCATCCTGTAGTGAGTGTGTGTAGTATAATGGTAATGATGTGTCACATGAGGTTAATTAGAGGTCATGGGTGGTTCAAATTAATCCTAGGAGGCACTACTCTTTTTTTCTTTTGCTTAAATAGAGGGACACATTAACAAAGACCATTAGAAGAGATGGTCCATGCTTTTTGTAGTATATACTCCCTCCGTACCTGAAAGAATCAATTTCTAGAGTTGTCTTAAGTCAAAATTTGTAAACTTTGACCGAATTTCTAGAAAAATATTAAGATTCATGATATTCAATTAGTATCATTAGATTTACCATAGAATATATTCCCATAAGGTGCCCATTTTATGACATAGATGTTGTTACTTTTTTCTATAAAGTTAGTCAAACTTAAAAAAGTTTGACTGGCACGGATTCTAGGAATCAATTTCTTGATTTGATGAATTTACTCCACCCACACATACCCCTAATAATTTCTTACTCCCTCCATTCCAAATTACAAGATGTTTTCATTTTTTATAGATACAATACTTTTATTATTTATGTAGACATAGTGTATATCTAAGTACATAGCAAAAGCTACAAATCTAGAAAAGCACAAAACGTCTTATATTTTGGAATGAAGGGAGTACGATCCACTTAAGAGCTTGTTTGGATGCGCTCCTATGTCCCCTCAATTTACGTGTGTTGGGCGGATTGTGGTAGAAATTAAACTAAGTTCCACCCCAATTGACTCCAACATATGGATTAGGTTGTATGCATGGATACGAGTGCATGCAAACAAGATCTAACTCCACGTGAAGAAATTGGTTTCCCTGTTTGTGTAGTTACATTAATTGCACACAGACGAAGAACCACAACAACGTGGGCTGGGTGGTGTGCAAGCACATGCATGGAGAACATGTTTATCCATACAAACCTCAATGCATGCAATAGTAACAGTAGAATGGATAGTAAATTAAAACAAAATATTCAACAAGGATATATGCTAATAGGTATATATGTAGTGCATATTACAAATAAAACTATGTAATATGTTCGCGACCAATACATAGGATAACAATATATTCTGGAACTACGTAGGTACGTACTGCATACATATATATGTACCTTGTTCTTCTTGCGCCATTATGACTTGACTCGACGACGACGACGACGGCGGCGGCGGTGTACACCTTGCACTCATCTCGTACGCCGCCTACTGCTCGCCGTGGAAGCTGGCCGGTTATTACTACTACTTACATTCTATCGCGCGCCACTAGCTTATATATATAGCTAGACATAGACACACTTTTGCGCAGTATATGTAACCTCTCTGAGATCTACGTCGTACGTTCCGATGTGCGTGGTCACGATGTTGATGGATATCCGGGCTGAGCATGCACACACGTGAAAGCTTATGGGCACAAAATTAGTGTAGAGACCAACTAGCAACAGCATTGGATTGAATTTATAGAAAGACGTACATATATACTCTCTCCTTTTTAGGCCGGCCGGGAGCCTGCATATGCAAAGCATGGGAGAGAAATTAAAGTAAAGTCGAAACAGCGTTATGTTTAGACAAAGCGCGCGCGCTAGCCGCCATGCATGCCGGGGCACGCTGGTAAAGGGCACGCATGGCATGCAGAAACGATATATATAATTGCTCACTGGAAAATACTACTATAAACAGACGTATGAGCATGCAACGGAATAAAGGAGAAAGTTGTCATCACTCATGCATGCATGTGACTCTCGATCGTCAGCTCTCGTTCATAGTACGAGTTGAAATTTAATTTGGCATAGGGTTTCTTAGCATCTCCTTTACCAGATTAAGTGCCTTTTGGGCTGGCTAGCTATATATTTCTCATAATATATAAAGCGGGGAAAATTTTAATTTTATAAAAAAATTATATATCTGCTAATTGGCCATTTATACGTTTTTAGAAGCAATTGGCCATTTTAGATTTATTTAGCTGTATGCTTGTTAAAAAGTATTTATAAATCTATAACTAAGTTATACATGATTTAATGAGTATAAAATTTTTACTACAATTTAAGCATACAATAATTAGCCCACCATAAAAATTTCACCACAATTGGACCAGAGAAACTGCAGCTATGAATTAATTATCGAAAAGCATAGATCTAAAGCTACATAAAAAAATTTGTACTAAAGCATACCATATTATATATTCACTGTGTAGACCTACTCATGTGGAGTCCAACAAACTTGGATTTTTATTTTATGATTTTTCTGTGATTTACTATAATTTTTCAAACATTCAGCCGAAATAAATAAATAAAAAAAGATAAAACCATCTTTGAAAACCGTTTATAACCGGTCAGGGAGGTAAAACAAACGGTTTTAAAAGTTCAGGATGTGGTTTACCCGGTTTTACAATTTAGAGAGGAAAAACATACTTCCGCAAAAGTTAAGGGAGGTACGTAGACCTTTTCCGATTGGAAAAAGGAAACTGAAATGACGCCCACGGCCACGGAGCTAGACGCACGGCGGCATAGAGGCTTTTCACCTTCTACACGGGCTTCATGCGGACGAGTTACAGCCCAAGTAACAAGCCCAGGCGCGGATGTGCGATCCAAGAGTTCGACCTTCGTCTTCCTGGGTTAGTCTCTGTGCGGGTTCTTCAGGTGTGCCGACAGCCATGGCTGGGCGGGGGAGGGGGTACTCTCGCCGGCGGGGAGGTCTGGCGGCCGCCAGGCCTCGCCAGATTGGTGGATCCGCCACTTTGGTGCATGAAGAACCTTGCACTGTGTTCAACAACGACCTTCTCTCTGACGAAGTGCACATCAAGCTCAATATGTTTTGTGTGTTTATGATGCACAGGGTTTGAGCTCATGTAGCATGCCGAGACATATATATATTGTCACAAAACACTACCTTCTCCTTTATTCTCCATGCGGCTGCCAATCTTGCCAATCAATTAGCGTAGCCAAGTGCATTTAGCCACGCCGCATTTTGCCACACCGTGGTATTCAGCTTTCGTCACTAGATTTGGATATTATTGTTCGCCGATGCTTGGATGACCACGAGATCCTGGTGTCGCCTAGGAAGATGCAGAGCCTGTGTATCCGGGCATCCACCCCAGCAGTTCACGTCTGAGAAGACTATTAGATCGACTATAGCTGGAGCCTTGCTGAACATCGAAGATGAAGACCAAGGGTAGTTGTACCAAGGATGTATCTCTGAGGCATAGTCATAATGTTCCTGAGACCTTATTGGGTCGTGGAATGGGGATTATTGAGGATCGTGGTATGATCTTTAATATAAGAAAGGTTTTCCCACAGCAGGGATGAGATTGTTCCTGCGTTCTTGGAATGGAAACGGCGTTCCCAGGATGAGGAACGTAGCGTTGTACCATGTTCCCGGTGACACTGATCTAAGGTTCCTTTAATGCACACGTCTGTAGCATCCAGTTATTAATTACAGACGCGTATTGACTCCGCCGAACCGGCCGCACCTCGGTCGACGAGTAACTACAGACGCTTGTTGATTAACGTGCGTCTGTAGTTTGTTAACACAGATGCGCTTTCGTCCGGCGTCTGTGGGTGCCGCCGGTGGATATGACTTTTTTTACATAGTGGCTTGCTGGTGTTCAATCGTCGGCGCATGCATGTGGTGGCAGGCTTCCTGTATAGTGTACTAGAAGTTCGGCCTCTTCGAAGGTACTACAGCGCTGCGACGAGATGTTGCGGCAGTCTGATGCATCGGAGGTTGTCAGAGGCGTTTCCGCCGTTGAGGATAGCTTGCTGGTGGCGTTGATCGTAGTGAACAGTTTGATGCATGCGTATCGATATGTGTCTTGTATCTATGTAGGCGCATCCAAACAATTAATCCAACGTAACTTGACTATAGAGAAATCTGACGTACGCCTTGATTCGATCTATATGCACATGCATGCACCTCAGACTTAGCAGTAAACAAATCATCTTTTAGTATTTATAATAAATAGGACTAAGACCACACATGCTGCATCGCATATCTCCTTAGTGTATTGCACCTAGATTCGTATATTAATCAACACCCCGAGAGATTCCTGAAAAGAAAAAACGAAAAAAAAGGATAAATGAAAATGGACTGAAACCGAGACATTCTTGGTGGTTTCAAATATAAATAGTCGTTATTAGGATATAGTCTTCGAGAAATGTAGCATTAATTTTTTTTTGAATGAGAAATGTAGCATTAATTTGGTAACACAGTTTAAATATAAAACAGTTGCCTTGCTAGTTATTAGTTATTAATAGAATATAGGTAATCAAAGTAAGAGGCAAATACGATAAATTGGTTGCAGTGTGTATAGAGAAGTAAAATTTAGATGAAGCCCACTTGGAGTAAGGTGATGATCCCGTTCTTCTGGTAACCAAAGGCCAAGAAGGCTCAATTCGTCTATGAAACCCCAATTTGGTTGCTGTGAACTCATAGCTCGCACGAGCAGCCCTCTGTAGCCCAATCGTGGCCTTCTTATATAGGTAAGCTTGCTCATCAGCATCATCATGTCGCGCTCAGCCGAGGCGAGAGAAAGGACATAAACAAGTAATGCGAGAGAGGTACAGAGGTAGAAGAGGAAGATATGACTGGATGAGACTAGTGAAGAGATAAGGGTACAATGGACCCAAATATCTTCTACAACTAAAAAGAATAAAGTGTGGATATTTTTTGGTGCGACATTTGTTTTGATTTGTTCGTCTGCCCACGCCTGCGATCCCACGACATCTTAATTACTGATTGATCGTGTCATTCTCCTTGATTGAATATTGCCTGTCATGTGATAGAGAAATCACGACAAAATAAGAAGTAGAAAATTATTGTGCTATCCATATACACATTACATGTTTGCATGCACCAGCATACATGGCAACGAGCAAAAGAAAAGAGAATTAACACCGAAGGAAAGAGAATTAAGACAAGAAGAACCTCTTTGCATTTATGAGAACCTTGCCAAATATGCCTATATTTAATTACTTCCTCTCTTTGCATTTGTAAAAGGGACAACTTTTTTCTCCTTTCATTTGGTTTCACGCTCACGTGTTCCATTGCCCTCGCTTGTTGTTTCTGGCTGAAATTGCCCCTGGGTCTGTTCATTTTGAATCATTTCCCCATATCCCCGTTCCCCAATCCATGGTCCATCGTAACAGTAGACACAAGACATCATTTCTTTTTGGATTAAACTAGGTAGCGTGCCCGTAGGTTGCTACGGGATAACTAACAATTTATACTAAAAACATACAGATGGCACGATAAGATAACAATTATGTAAAAATTAAATATCAACGTTAAAGTGACATTTAATCCAAAAAGCAAAGTTTATGAATTTAACAGAGTCACAGAGTGCGCGGCGTCGCAAGCTCACAAACTCTACTTTATAGACCTTTCCGTGATGCGGCTAAGATGATGTCTTATATTTGCAGAAAAAAATCTCCGATATCCATTTCTTTCATTGTAATCTATTTATCTAGACAATGTTTGAGGTGATGGCACGGTTACAGTTTTTAGTAGCTTTGCGATATTGTCCGAAGCTATGAGATGATTGATGTCTTGCAATGATCCTTTCATTAATTTAGTTTTCTATCTATGTTTAATTGTTTATTCAGTCTATTTTATAAGCACGCCGTTAGATAATGGATGATAAAATTCAAGCATCCATAATTTATCTCTTTGACTTTGAGCATGAGTTTTGTTTTTATTTTTTAATTGATATATTGTCCTTTTGTTTTTATCGTAGCGTTAGCACGGGCATGCATGAAAAACGAAGATGTCTTTACACTGCAGAAATCTTTCAAGAAGATCATGCATAGATTATTCTTGTATTGAATATTATATATATACAATCACCTAAATATTCTAATTAAACTATAAAATTTTAAATTAGGATACGAGGTAAGACATGCAAACAGATATTTCAAAACTACCTGTAGAGTCCATAGAACTTAATAAATAAATCCTTCTGGAGGCAATGCAAATTCTCTCTAATCTTTTATTTGGTGTAGTTAGTGTTATCATAGTACCCGCATGTATTCATGGGAAATAAATTGTGGACAAAACGTGGACACTTTTTTGTGCGACATTCTAACATGAGTCCATCGTCCTGCCAATATCCTTGAGGCAGATCACATAAAGGATGAGAGTCC